CGCCTTTTGTGGCGTCTTCCTTCCGCGCACATGGTGGGCCCGTCAAATAGGGGCTCCAAAACCCGCAAGTAGATGCCGACACCTCACTTTCTTCCCTGGGCAATCCGCGGCTGCTGCGAGGTTTCGGCTTGCCAGTTACTAACTCGGGCATAGTGACTGTCAGCAGGATACAGCTTGTTCTTCTTTGAACAACACTCTGTCGGCCGAAGGCTGGCCGACTTCTTTTGCAGCTGACAGACACTTCCGGCAAGCCGAAACAAAAGCAGGGGCGAGAGCGTTTGCTGTTCTAGTAGCTTCTGCTTTCTGTTGCAACGCCCCCTGCTTTACCTCGTAGCATTTGGGTTGCGTGGTGTAGGACTTACCTGAACAAGTGAGTTCGTGTCCCAGAAGGGTGCTCGAGACAGGAGACCATGACAGACAGGTCAAGTGGCGCATAAGGACGAGGTCAAAAGGGGGACTCAAAGCCTCGCCGGTGTCAGACAGTTTGTTGATCACTGGTGAGAGTGATGAGGCGAGTTATCATGTCAATCAAGGTGACAGCGGATTTGGACCGAGATGAGCAATCACGTACCCTCACAGGATGAAACACAGTCTACACCCCCTCGACACGGAAGTAGCTGGCTCGTCAACCCGAAAATGATTGCCACGGTCAGTGTTGCGACGACTGGGGCACTTGCTGCGAACACGAAAAGCAAGCCGCGCCGTGTAGTGAAACAGCTCGACGTCCCTGGTGAACTGGGAGAAATCTAAGCTGTTCTTGCAAAGATGCAGTCCACTTCGTCTGGCGCAATGCCTCTGCCAGTAGATCCCAAGAAGGAGACTTCCAACCGAGCCATGACAAGCAAAGCGGTACTTCTGGCTACAAATCCCGTCTACAAACAAAACTCAGCTCGAACTTTATGTCGCTCGGGTTCTGAGCCAAAGCCTGCCCCCCCCCGGTTCGTTCTGGCTTCAGCTGAGTTTCAAACTCTGCTCGACACTTCCTCCTACTACACCACTTCCTAATTAAGGTTCTTATGTCAGACACACAGTGAGCCTCGAACTACTCAGCTGCCACGCCAAAAGCAAGAGAATCTTCGCCTTCGCCCTTTTGCCTGGTGATTTGACGGCCCAAATTGGAGACGGTGCGGTTTTTCGCAGTCCTGTTGCAAAGTCTGGAGTCGCTCAGCTCTTTGCAGTTTTTCCGTAGCTTGGAAGCGTGTTTAGGTGCGTCGGAATCTGGGCGTCTGGGTTCGCCAAGTGCCAACCTGTCGTCGTTTCTTCGCATGTCGGGATGATGGAAATCGTGCTGCCGCCTAGCCGTGAGTGTCGAGGCGCATGATTGCTAACATGGAAGATCGCAGATCGCAATGTCCTGCAACAACACATCCCGAACGTAAGCCACCGCCGCCAACTCAACCTTGAGCAACCCTTCCTGTTATTGCCGCTTGTCGGAGACGCGGTGTTGAAACCTCACGCCTTGGCATCTTGGTGCTCCAGAGGCCCCAAAAGATCTTGGTTGCACGCGGAGCTCACATGAGCGATTTTGCACGGTGACGAAAGGTACAGGGCTGTGCCATACAGTATTGAACATGATCGTACCATACCCCGCTGTTCTCTGTTCAGAGAGCAGTGGCCCACCTGCCGACAACGATGCCGACGTTGCGGGCGACGGCCGGCGTGTTCACGACGAAACTGTCAGATAACGGTTCGTCGCCGGATTGGCGTTGTCAATAATGTTGTGAATCATGCCCAGAGCTGGCCCTAAAAATTGTATCACGCAACAAACATGGGTTTTTGCAGCTTTCAAGCGACAAGACCCACCCCGAGCTGGAAACCAATTGTGAAGCAGAGCCCCGAAACCTTGTTTCCGAAGGAAAGCCTGAAGTTGATTGTAGAAGTGGACACGCTGATTGAAGAACTGTACAGGCTATAGGTTTGCAGGAAATTTTGGCTACTGCATGGTCTTGCAGTGCAGGACCTTGCCCCAAACGAAAAAACGCTCGTACCCATGAATTGCTCCTAAAATCAAGAAATCAAAATTTATATCGTTGCAGCGCAAAAATGCCGGCAATTAGGCGGATCTTGCGACTGCGGCTTTGTAGGGTTTCCATTAACCCCCGAGCTGCGAACCGCTCCCAGCACCGAGAGAAAAGCTTCAGGTTGGGCGCAGACCCCAAGATGCACCTTCTGGATCCTTTTGGCAATGCATCTGAAGCTCCGCCTCGCGGTCCTGGCGGTGCGTTCGGCGTTTTCCAGCGCACGCCATCACACGCCATCACACGCCACCGCACGGCCAAAATTCATTACAGGTCCGGCGACAACGTGGTCAGGTAGACGTGTTCGGATGGAAACGAAAGTCCGCAAATGTCCGCAATATGTGCAGCCGGCCCCATCACAAAAAATGCAAGAGTCACCGCGTGATTGATTCCACACTCAGTCATCAGAAGCTGTGGTTTCCAAATCGTCCCAGCGCCAGATGCGAGCAAAGTTCTTTTCATCACGACGGCTCCGGGCGCTGGGCATTGGCAGTCACAACTGTCAGCTATGCAGCGCCAGATTAGGCTGGCTTCTGCGCCACCCAGGAGCGAATGCAAAAAACAAAAACACTTCCCTACAGCTGGGGGCCGCGCACATCGCCTAGCGGGGCCGGCGTGAGTATTGCACAGCCGCCAGCCAAGCTCTGGCGTGCGTGAGCATAGCAGGGCCCGAGATGCTGGCTGCAGAGCATGCGTCGCGATAGTGGAGATTTCGAGACCGCGTCACGTGAAAGCCAGCCGTGTGGCCACTCTCCTGGGCCTGCGTCGCCGGGGTGCGCGGGGTTGGTGCCTTCGTAGGCGCGTGCTTGATCTGGCTGCGACGTCAGATTCGAGTCGGTTGCCACTGCGCGGGTGAGCGAGGTGGTGATGGTAGTCCTTCATTTCGTGATCGGACAGGGACCTGCCAGGCGGAAAAGAGTCGTGCAAAAAGAAACAACGTAAATTTTCCCGTCGCTTCTCGAGACACGTGTAGCATTGCGCTGGGAATGCTGAGGGGACAGCTTCATCCAGCTGCGTATGCTCGTGTGCTCACAGGAAGCAAGGTGCGACGCGTGTACCGTACGCGTGTACCGTGGCAGTTTGATTACATAGGATAACAACAGCCTTGCACAGGCCATGCAACCTCCGAGTCGGCCAGGAGTGGGAGGCGGTCGAGGAGGACCTGTTGCTTGGCGAGCAAGGCGACCAAGCGACAAACTCGGTGCGCCTGAGGGTATTTGGCGTTGGCCCCTCCCCACTGCGTGATGGAGCTCTACCACCGCTTGGAGGCATATGCTTTGCGGCCCAACTCCGACTCAACCCTGCCAAGACCCGCATCTGGAATAGCGGGTGGGGCTTATTGCGAGGGTGTAATCGCTCGCCCCCCGTCAGCGAGGTTTGGGTTTCTGCAGCGCTGAGCGCCATGCAGTTGCGGCTTTCTGGGCATCTTGGGCCGACGCACTTCCAGCCCTCGCACGTCGAGACCCAACCTTCGCTCAAACCCTGGCGCGCTCCCTGGACGGCCCCGGCCCTTTGCCCCTCACCACGCCAAGCCAGGACCTGGGCAGCCGGGTCGCCCGTCGATCTCGAGGAGGAGGTTACCCGCCAAGTGTTTACGTTCCAAGCCCCGCCCAGGCAGCTCCGAGGCTTTTTGCGGAACGATGAGTGTCGCACTCGAGGCAGTGCGGGATGCAGATGGTGCGGGGGAAATGGATGGGTGGCAACACTTGCCGGGCTGTACATGCATGCCGGCGGAGGAGCTACGGCGTCGGGAGCGATGGTTCTGCGCAGGCAAATGGAGCGGCGGCTCCGCGAAGGTGCCGACCTGGCGTTAACCGCACCACGCGGTCGGAAGGGACCAGCCCCGAGTGCGACCTCAGTAGGTGCGCCGAGCGCGCTTCCGCGTTTACGCAAATGGGGGACGTCTCGGCAGCAGTGAAAGCTTTGACGGCTCAGCCATTAGCCCCAGCGATTGCTGCGACCCTTCGCGCACTTCGGGATCCCGCCCGACGCCCACCAACAGCACAGGTGCCCATCCCACCAGAATGCCTTCGCAGCTGTCCCAATGCATACAGCCCCGGCATCAAGGGCTCACCCTGCTCCTCACCCTCGCCTTGCCATACGTCGTGCCCCACGCCACCTTTCATCACAGAACACGCAGCAGCTGGCTTGCCCATAAAGAGCGCCGCGAACGGAAGGAGGCCTTCCAAAGTGGCGTGCCCCGCCCGCCGCGAGCATGTCGTCCGGGGATCGGTGTCCGTGGATGATGCCGAGGCAATTCCACCAAGACCAACGCCATGTCACGGTGTCCAAGGCGATGACAGATGTGCTGCGACATTAGGAGGAAGACTTGGCCTGCAACCGCGCCAGCCCGTGCAACTGTGCACCCGCGCTGGCACTGAGGCCTTTGTCCGGGTGCTGCGCGTTGTTGCCTTTGAAGTCGACCCGCGGGAAACAGTGCTCTCCGTCGACGTCACTGGAGCATTTGATCAGCAGTCGATGCTTGCCGCTCTTAGGTCCAGAGAAAGCCTTCACTCCCTACTCCCCTACGTGCGCCAGGCAAGATGATGCTGGCGTTTGCCACGATGTGCGGCAATGCGAGGGTGGAGAGCAGGGCGACCCACTCATGCCTTCTCGCGCAGCACCCTGCCTTGGCTGCAGTCCAGCGGCGCTTGCCGGAGGGCGAGGCTTTCACCTTCCTCGACGATATCGATGTTGGCGCCGCGCCTGAGCGGATTTGCGCGCGGGGCTACGCGAGTGGGTCGTATTGGGCTCAAACTATTTTTTCACTGCTGGCAAAGAACCTTGAAAGGCTTCGGTTTGAAACATTGCTTCGTGAAACATGCTATCATGCTTTCTCAAGACATACAACAACTGCTCAAAGTGACATGCTTTACAAATGTTCGGTAAAACGCTCGCACGCCCCTTAAAGGCATGCTAGCTTTGAGCTAACACTCGGTTTTCAACGGTGTTCGTTGAAACGGAAATGGTGCTCCAAAAGGCCTAAGCCTGAGCATATGCCAAAATGGCTGGTTGCGAATGACACATGTGGGCTGCGCAAATCTGCAACGCATTGACAGCAACTGCGAAGTTTGGCTTCCACGGCATAAGCTTCCTTCCTTGATTACACAGGCTTGCTACGAGCTCAATTTGCTTGGCGTCGTTCAACAGCATGCGCAAATCTGATGTGCTCATGTCGACCATGCTTAAGTCAACCAAACACTGTCCCTTCAAAGTAGCATCCAAATGCTTTGTTAGGCAGTTTGCCGGGTTCACGTTGCCAGCAACTTTCCCAACTTTGAGGGCCTGTTGCTGCACAAGCTCTTGGACATATAGCGCTGCCACTTCTATGTGTCGCATGCGGCTGCCTGCACCAAGACGTTTGGCCGTTTGTAATGCAGTGCTGGCATCGGTCCAAAGTCTTGGCACGCCTAACTTCATGTTGAAATCCTCTTCAGCCAACTGTTTGATGAACATGATGTCGCGCGCCCCTCGACTCAGAGCTCTAGTCTCTGCTTCACCTGATGATGTAGCAGGTGTTCCAGGCTGTGTTTGTGGATGTGCGATAACTACACTGCCTCCCACATTGATGATGGTGCAATCTGATGACCGGCGAGTGTCAGCACACCCCCCCCAATCTGAGTCCGTGAAACCATCAAGGGTCAGGACGCCAGTTGTTTTGCTCTCTGAATTCAAGGTCGTGACCCTGGCAAGATCCGGTTTGTGCAGGAGGTATCGTGCCAACACCAAAAGGTTTGACCAATCCACCTCCCTGGGTTCACGCATGTGACGGGCGAGTTCCTTCACTTCGAAACGGATATCCCGACGATCAATGCTCAAATAAATCAGAGAACCAACGCACTTTGGGAACAGTTCGGCACGATGAGCGTCGACTGGCTGCGTATTCTCGTCCGTATGAACGATGCGGCGCGGCGCTACAGGTCGCGGAGCGCCGCAAGCAGACGGCTTACCCCGAACTCACATGTGGCGGGCCACAGCGCCTGGTCGTGCTGGGAGCAGAGGTTGGCGGGCGATGGAACGCACAGGCGCTCCGCTTCCTGCGGGATCTCGTCCATCTCCGCGCGCAACGCGCGCCGCCAGCTGTTCGCGCAGCGGCTGCGGGCGGCTGGTCCAGGCGATGGCAAGGCATCATCTCCATCGCAGTCCAGCAGGCCGTCGCGGGCACGGCCCTCGGACGCGCGTGGCCAGCCCAGCCGCAAGCGGGACCGGGAGCCGGGCCCAGCCTGGAAAGGGTCCTGGACCTCGCCGGGGGCGCTGGGGCGAGTCGGCTGCCGATGCGGCCGTAGGAGCTTGAAGGCACGGACATCATAGGCAGCTGGAAAAAGGCGCGGAAAAAGAAAAAAAAAAAAACGATGCGCTGGCCTGCGACTCTCGATGGCTTCGCATGCCAGAGGTCGAGGAGGGTCAAAACATTTTCACGATGCTTGCTATCTGGGAGCGTGAAAAACGTGTCAGCTGTGCGCAATTTTGTGCGGCCTAGCACGTTGACTTTTGTGCCGGGTTTTTCGATGCTGCCATTTTTCATGTCCAAATACTCCCCCAACCCTTCGCTAGACTGCAAAAAACTCGAGATCCGGGTCGGAAGCCCCAATCCGAAAATCATCAACATGGTGCAGCAATGTGGCATCTGTTGCCGCGCACGTGTACACTGTGGGGTCGCGCCGGCCGCGCACGAACCGATACCCTTTTGGCACCAAGCGCTCAGTGACCACCTTCTCAAACTCCTGCCGGTAGTTACTCCCTGCAGGTCGTCGGCCATACAAGTTTCCTACCAGTTCGAGAACCACTTGCTTGCATAAATCCACATCGGTGATGTTTTCGAACTTGGACTTGGTTTCCGCGCTTTGCTCCGACAACCACGAGCGAAAGTATTTGACGTACTCAGGGGGCATGCGAACATGGACAGGGTTGCCACTACTGTCGCCTGAATCTGCACCAAGCAGGTATGCACAACGAACGTCGCCGGAGCGTGTATGCCACCCTTTTGCGAGGCATTTCAGCTCAAGAAGAACATGTGATTCTTCATACGGCGTCGGGGCGAACGTATTGGTTTCTTCGGCTAGTTCTTCTTTGGAGTACTTCTTTTTGATGTCTGCACATGTAAACCGCGATCGATACACTCCCCTTTTGATTTCGTCGACCCACTTGAAGTTGAACAGCTTTGACTTGCGCGGGATTTCGGACTTGAGCTTTGGGACTGCAAAATGCTTTTCGACAAGTGTGGCCATTTGCACATCTCTGGCTTTTTCCACTTCGCGCGGATCAAGCTGCGTATCGAGCAAATCGAGGACTGAACATATCTTCTGCTCCCACTGACCACTGCGTGCCCAATCCTGGATCTGCTGCAGGGCGCTGCTGATTGTGCCTACTTTGGGAACCTTGGGCTGCGACTCTGTGGCCGCGGCAGCGGGCTCGGAAGGCTGAGGCAACGGGCGCTTGTCTGTGCTGTGCACTGGACTGGGTAATGGAATTGCATTGACGCCTGTGGGTGTAGGGGCATCCCGCTCAATCTGCATAGAGCCAGATCCGCGGAATGGGGAAGCTGGTCCTTCTATCTCACGCGCGAACGGTGATGGCGGTGTTGGCGGGGTCATCGTCATGCGATGCGAACTGTCAGGCGTCATGCCCCGTGCTTCGGACAATGGCGTTCCAGGGACTGAGTTCTGACCGCTCCCTGGCCCAAGTGCACGTGATTCATGTGAATCTGACGACGTTGGTGCATCGGGCATGACTGGAGGTCTGATGCAGATTTGTCCTGGACAACTAACGTCGGGCTGTGCCGACTGCACGTCGCCTGAAGCTTTCGGCGCAGGCGCGGGGGGATCCGATGCCGGAATGGGCACTGCAACAACATTGCTGCTTTGTGTGCGGACCTTGCTGCGTTTGCCGGAAGGTGCCCACGGTAGGCCACAGGCATCGTTGAGGTAGCTCACCTCGTACTGATCTGCTGCTGGGACGCGGCGAATGGATCGCACGGTGATGGCACCGGCATTTGTCAAAATGACAGCCGAATCATCTAACTCTAACCTCCCGACAAACAACCCCTTAAACCACCGTGGTTTTGACTTGTTCAACGAGTGTGTGTTCGGAACTTTACACAACAGCACTTCGCCGAATTGCACAATGGGTGTGGCATAATCCCGCCCAGACACAATGCGATAGGGTGTCAACTTGTCGGATTGGACATGGTATCGGGCCCACACGAAAGCGACCCATCTGCAAAGCCAAGGCACAACAGGATGGTTGATGTCGAGTGGTTCTGCTGGGTTGGGGTATGCTTGATTCAACGCACTGAGCCAAGTGCGAAGCATGCCAGCCATCAGCCGGTTTGCATTTTCAGCGCCGCCTTGGCTCGCGTGGCTGTAACGAGGCGCAGCTCGGATTTGGACACGATCATGTCCGAGCTCTTTTTGTACCTGCTCTACAACAGTGCGCAATGCGTGCTCTTGATCATGCTGAATCACGACTTTTGCATACCCGAGGCGTTTCACCCAAGACACGACGGCTCTCACGACGTATGCATCGGCACCTTTTTGGGGTACGAACGCCATCATCGGCCACCCAGATGACAAGTCAGTCCCTGTCAGCACCGTGGCGGTTCTACTTTCCTCTTCGACTAACTGGCCGTCTCGGCTGAAGAATTGATAGTCTACTTGGAGAACAGGGACTTCAGGATCCTCATGCTTGTTTTGGCGTCGATGCTGGGCGTCAGGGGCCTTCCCCGCGACGCAGTGAGGGCACCATGGTGCAAAGTCAGCATGGGTGAGATTGTGGTGAGCTCGCTGCTCGTCAGTCGGGGCGTCTGGAACAGGAAGCGCAGCAGGCTGTGGCAACGCAGGCTCCACGTCAACGTCGATGCTGTCTGGGAGGGCAGCCTCCGCGGCATTGGAGCCTGGCTCACTGGGAGAATAGTCTATGGACAGCTCATCACCATCGATTTCCGCTGCAACGAACTCTGCGGTAGCGTGATGGGGATGCCTATCCTCATACGGCATGTAAAACCGCGCACCAAACCTGGGAAGAATGACGGTTTGACCATTGGGTGTGTCCATGTGCGCCGGTTTGCCGGAGGATGACCGATAGAAGTGGAGATCGCAGTCGGCATCATCAAGGATCCGGCAAAATGCCATGACAGGTTCCGTCGTCAGTCACGTCCATGCGGAAGGATGCTGGGATCTTGGTGTCTTGACCATGGCAGTCTGTTGCCGGGATGGCGGTAGAAGCGGTGAGTTCACCTTTGTGTCGAATTCGAGTGCCGTTGATGGCCCACAGCTCTTTCCGCCTTGCTGGGTCAACCGCAGCTGCCGGAAAACACTGCTCATCTGCACAGCTGGTGGTGGCGCCCGAATCGACCAACACGTACTTCACGGAAGATGCTGCAGCGATGTGTTCAGTGATCTCGACAGCCTGAACCGGAGATTCACTGATTGCAAACAACATCTCTTGAATTGCACCCTGGCCCTTGCGACCAGCACTCTGCTGTGACGGCGCCGCGCTGGCAACACGAAGTGCATCCAGCTGAGACTGGAGTGCCGATATGGTGGACGCCACGTTCTTGTCAGAGTCGATCGCGCCCTCAGCTGATGCGTTTTGTGGCGGACCACGTTTGTTGCCCTTGCTATCCCCTTTGGGATTTGTGCGCGCGTTAAAGAAGCAGGCATCCGTGCTGTGGTTCTTGCCTTTCTCTGGGCCGCAGATGGCGCACGGTGCTCCTTTTCCTGGCTTCCCATTGCTCGGATCACCCTTCTTGTTGTCCTTGCCCTTACCGTCTCCTTTAGTTTGCAAACCTTTAGACCCTTTATCTGGGTTGCCCTTTTTACCACCCTTACCACCCTTAGCCTCTTTACCTTTAGGTTTGGCATCTGTGGCGTCGAACGCTCCGATCTCCATAGGAGCAGGCCCAGAGTACGGAGTCAACGGTGCAGAAGCTGAGGCGGATCCAAAAGCTGTACCAGCACCACGCTTCCACAAGTTTTTGGACTTCAAGTATTGCACGATGAATTCTCGCAGTGCTTTGTACGTTGTCAAATGGGCGGAATTCATGGCAATCTGTGGGGCGAGGGCTTTCGGAGCAACTTCAGACAGTATCGCGAGCTTAAGGTCTGGATCGAAAACCTTCTTGTACTCACGTTCATATTTGGCAATTTCGCCTTCCCACTCTTCAAGGCCACGTTGCCACTGACTTTCCTTCGTGGGAAACGATGGATTGGAAAGGACCCGGAGCCAAGCAAATGGTTTATGCTTATTCTCAGGCTCGTAACGGGCATGCATCCGCCGCCAAAGTTCAAAACCGTTACGGTCGGGAACCGGCTAAAGCAGGGATTTCGCCAGCTTGACACAATCCGACAAGTATCGCAAAAAGGTCTGTGCAAAACCCCTCAGCCTGATCCACCATGTCGACCGAATCGATTTCATCCGGCTGCGCTGCTGCATCAGACAACAATTGCGGGTATTCCGGATCAACAGTGCCGATCCAAGAAGTGAAACTGAATTTGAAACGCTCCCAATCGGCGTCGGTGCCCAGAAACGGCTCTGGAGGTTTCACCAACTTAGGATTGAGTGGCCTGCGTCTGGACTCCGCGGCTTGCGCTTGTGTGCTGCTCGCGGCTAACTGGGTGATAGCGGACTGTGCCACCGACAGTGCGGCATTGGTTGCTTGGGTTTGTTGTTCCAATGCAGCACGTGTGTTGCCAAGCTCTTGCTGCTGCGAGGAAAGTTGAGCAGTGAGCTGATGCACCTGACTTGTCAGGGCTTGGATTTGCTGTTCAATGTTCGCCATTATTGCGACAGTGAGGCAGGCAAACACTGAGGTGCGGATTTCAGCCAACTTATGACCTAACCCTTGTTCTAACCAGAAGGCTCAAACCTTTCAGGGCAGTACCACAATTGTGCAAGGTGACAATCACTCTACGGCTCTGGAACCGGAGGTTGCCACTTCAAACGCTCAAGGACGAATCCTCCGAGGCAGAACTTTGCTCCTGGGGGCACGAAGACAAGTCGTCACACGGGCTGACACTTTCCTCGGCCTCGGAACCTGAGTTCAAAGATTGGTTTGCTGATGCACAGTGTGCGTCACGCCGGATCTGTGTCTTCAACTGTTGGACACGTTTCCGGAGAGCACGTTTGCGTGTAGCGGAATCAGACCGCTTCTTCGAACGGACGCACTTGCCTGTTTGCGGGTCACGCTTGCGGGCGCGCCTTCTAACTGCAAGAGTGCCTTTCGCTTTGCCCTTGCAGGGTTCCTTTGGTCCTTTGCTTTTGCTACCCTTGCCTTTGCCTTTTTGAAGGCTAGGGGGGGCGCACTGCGTCCAAGGCTTGGAGGCCGAAGACGCGGGGGCTGCAGTGTTCTCGCGCTTCCGCCTTGGAGGCGGTGGTGGTGGCGGTGGCCACGGTCGGGTTGAACCGAGGCCCCGCTCTTGCTTGATCGTTGTGGATCTTAGCAGCTCCGCGTAACCATGCGCGCGGGGCTACGCGAGTGGGTCGTATTGGGCTCAAACTATTTTTTCACTGCTGGCAAAGAACCTTGAAAGGCTTCGGTTTGAAACATTGCTTCGTGAAACATGCTATCATGCTTTCTCAAGACATACAACAACTGCTCAAAGTGACATGCTTTACAAATGTTCGGTAAAACGCTCGCAGGATTCGCGCATTGCTGGAAGCTTCTCGCTGCCCTAAGCCTGTGAGCCAATTGAGCTTGCAGTCTCCCAGCGTGGTTCAGTCTGGTTCTGCGCGGCCCTCAGAAGATGCCGTATTGTAGCTATAACCCGATAAATATTGGAGAGCTGTTCAGGCTGTTTCGTCAGCGTGAGTCGGGCGGGATGCCTTCGCGGAAGAGTTGCGGGCCTATGCCGGGATCGAGCTCAAAAGGGGCAAGGCCCGCATTTGGAACGCCGCAGGCGAAGAACCACCCGGCATCTCTCACTTGCAAGGGGCGGGCGGGGAGCCTGCGTGGGTCGGTGATTGGTCCCTGCCACGTGACCGCCAAGGCTTCATCGTCCTCGGCACTCCCCTTGGCACAGATGCATTCGTCCAGCGCGCCATGGCGGCCCGGAGTGCTGAACACGGCGATTGCTGCGCAGCATCCCCACTGTTCCGGACATTTCCGGAGCTGCAGGCTGCGTGGCTACTCTTGCACTATTGTGCCGTGCCGCGGGCGAATTACCTCTTGCGCAATGTGCCCCCAACGCTCACCGCCCAATACACCGACCATGATGACGGCATAGCAGCGTGCCTTGCCGCTCTCCTGGACCAGGCCGATCAGCCGCTGCTCGCGGAGACGCTTAGTGCGTCACAGCTTGCCCTGCGGCATGGGGACTGGGGCTTCGCTCCGCCGTTGTCGATCGTCATGCCGCCTACTGGGCATCTTGGGTCCATTCCCTGCCAGCGGTGCGAGCGAGGTCACCACTCGTAGCCGACAACCTTGTCCAGGCGCTTGCCCATCCTGGCGCTGCTGGCTACACCAGTGTCGTCGCGGCAACGCATGCTGCTGACTTCCTCCGCGCCCAGGGGCGACGTGCCAGCCTGGGATGTCGCACAGTCCGCCCCCATTGAGTTTGATGGTCCCCCCGACCAGCCTGGCGACTGCCTGCGCGGTTGGCAGTGTCATGCTGCACGTGCCTGCGATCAGCGCGCCTTCCGGATGCATTTCGCCACGTTGTCTTCCGCATCCAGAGCGCCGCTGCTGTCGCAGGCCGACCATCCCGAATGCGGAGTTTCGTCTCCCACTGCCCCTGGCCCCGCATGCCCGCTCCTGCCGTGGGCAGCTCGACGCCCTTGGGGATCACCGCGCGGCATGTGCGACGTACGGAGCCATGCATCTCGGACACTACTGCCCCTCGAGCGTGCCGTTGCCCGTGTGTGCTCAAAGGCCGGGGCACGCGTCGCACGTAACATGCGGTTGGCTGACATGAACCTGCTGACGCCGGTCCACGACGCCCGCCGCATCCCACTAGCCGTTGACACCACGCTTGTGTCCCCTCTCACTCAGGCCGGAGAGGCGCGGCCAGGGGCTGATTCCCGCCCGAACTGCAACGTGCCCGCCGTTGCCGCCTGGTAGTGTTCGGCCTTGAGGTATCTTGAGGTCGGGGGCCGATGGGGGACCGGAGTGTTGTAAGTGACGCAGACATGTCTGCAGGCAGAGCAAAATACCAGCGACACGAAGCCCTCGCCCTCTACAAACAGCGGTTTATCTCGTTGCACAACGCATGGCAAGTCCTGACTGGACATGGACGGCATTTGTACAATTTTGTACATGCCACACAGCTACATATGTAGCATCAGTACTCTACTCTTCGAGCCTTCTCCTTTCAACTCTGGATTGCAGTTGCTGGCGAAGTCAAAGCGCGTCGCCCAGATCGAGTGCTCGAAGTACAGCACGGCATTGACTTCTCCCAACCATGCTACCCGAGGCGGAGAAAAAATAAAGAAACCTTCATTGCGGATCATTGTGGGGACAGCACCTTTTCGCCTTTTCGGGATGTTGTGGTGGAGATCCGTGGCATTGACGCCGCAAACTCCATTGTTCACACAAGGGGGCCCACCAGATTGGCGACGCTCACACCGGGGTGAAAACAGAGCCGCGCCCTCACTGGGAGCGAACCTACTCGATCAGCAAGATCTTGGACGAGGTTTCCGTGAAGCTTGAGGAGTCTACAGCCAGGAAAGAAAGGCTCATTTGCCGGCCAAGCTGGTGAGGTGTGTCACGAAGGGATTACTGGAGAACTGCAGCGTGGTCCTGCTAGGGATTAGCGCTAGATGCTTAAGTTGCCAGCAACTTCGCCTGACGCGGGTGTGCGTTCCTGACTGGAAGGCCGGCCACCCTGCCGGCTCAGCCGAAGGTTCCTCCGTCGGCGCTTCCGGGAGGGACATGTGCCTGGGGCCATTGCAGCGGAATCCACGGGGAAGCGGTGACGGTTCAAGCTGGAGCCAGGAGTCGTATCTCTTCTATAATGCGGCGGGTTTACGGGCTGGCACCTCGGCAGCAGCCACCGAGGTCTTCAAACCCAAGCTGCGTTTTTGGGGTAGATTGAGTTGTCTGAGATTTTTATTGGTTCCATCATGTTGCCTTCATGATGTTTGCCAAACCGTACCCCCCAAAAAAGGACAGTCAGCTTTTTCAAATTCAGAACAAAACCGCACTAACGATGGGCGGCTATTTGCCTCGGTTTCCATGCCTTCTCGACGTGTGTTTTACTTCGACAGGTTTTGCGAGTGTGATGTGGGCTTACTGAGCAAGTTGAAGTCCCTCTCAACACCATCAGAGTATGTTCTTGAAATGCTCAGAAACCCGAATCTGCCGCAGGAAGTGAGCAGCCTATGAGCAACTTTTGGCCCTTGAGACTCTCCGCGAGGTTTGACGAAGGTAGCAGCTGGAAGTCGTCTCCTTCCGCTGGCGGTAGCCTGAGGGAGCTCGAGGATTGTGCGTGCACGGCGGGCTCTAAGGTCGCTGAGGTGGCTCTAAATGCTTCAGTATCTATGAAGGCTAGAGTGTTGTCTTGTCGGTTCAATCAGAACTCCAGCGCCATCAAATAGTAGCCTTCGGATTTTTAAAGACTCCACAGGATGTTTTCGTTCTCGTTTTTTGGCTGACCATATCTTTCCATGGTTTTAGCGGCACAATTGGATTCCTTCCGATGTTGTGCTTTTCTGTGGGGCTAGATCTCGCTTGGAGGTTCAGGGTACTTAGTTAGCAACCCATTTTACGTGCAGTTACAACCCACATGCAAGCCCCTTAAGTACCCTAGCAGGGTTATAGTTGGGTCATAAGTGCAGTCAGGTCTCCCCAGGCAGTTCAAGAGGTGCTAAGGGCCACACACGGCCAGCTTCGCCCATGATCTTCCCGATTTTCTTTGGGCTGCCGGTGCTGGGCAAGTTCTTTCAGTCTTATGTGGCCGGGTGGAAAGTCGCCATCTTCCACTTGGTCCAAAACTGGGAGAAGCACACAGAAGCCAGCAAGGAGGTCGGAGAGCTCTTTGTGCCAAGTCCGACAGCTCAAACTCTGGTGCTGAATGTGCTGGCCTACGTACTTCTTGTTGTGTGCTTGAACAGTGGGCAGGCTTCTCAATGGAATATCAGCGCTTGATCGCGCTTTACTCCCTCCTCCCAACCTTGATCATGGGGTTCATCTACTACTACTACCTGTTTCGAGCAAAGATCTGGCAAATGACCTTCTCTGTAGTGGCTGGGTGGCTCAACAACTGGTTGATGATGATGGGGATCGCCATGGTTTCCTTCTCGCAGTTGGCGCTCCGCTACATGGGACTACTTGTAGTGGAGAAGTTCTTGCCATCTGCTTGGCAGGGATACATGACCTTTCCCATGAGTACCATCGAAACATCAGTGGAGCACACCATGCTCTTGCTTTATGGCTTAGGTTTGGTCCTGTTGGTCACTACGCCTTTGTGGTGTGAAGGCCATCGCCTGGTCTATGAGACTCTTGGCCGGAAGGATGCCGGCAATGCCGGCCGTCTGAGCTTCTCCGAAGCGGTGATGGAGATCCTCTACACCACCTCCCAGCTGGCGGTGGTTTTGCAAGTGCAAACTGCCTTGGCCATGATACAGGAGGGCTTGGGATGCCACTTCCACTACATCCACTTTGTGGCAGTCATTGTGGAGCACATGTTCTTCCATCATATGGTCCAGTTCAAGTTTGCCTGGCTTCATAAGCTCTACCACGAGGTGCAGCCCCTTTATCGTCTGGTCCACTTGGAGCACCACATTTGCAAGGGAACCTATCCGACAACGCCTGCCGCCGGACTTTGGGAACCTTGGATCGAAGGAGGGACCTTGTTCTTCTGCAACACCCTGGCCTGCGTCCCCTACTTCTTCCACGCAACCTCCTCCGGCCCCAATGTGGTGGTGCATACGATGTGGCCGCGCAAGTCCTGTATCCAATGGCATACCCTCCACCATGTGGTCCACAGCGACATCTATGCGTTGAATGTGCCGTTTTCACGAGATGTGAAGCAGTACAAGGCCCGAGCCAGATGCTTTGTGGTGTGTGTGTGTGTGAGCGAGGATGATGAGGTGGTGACATGCAGAAACTCTTTGACGTTTGCGCTTTCCAAGGTTTGCCAGCCTTACAAGACCCAACAGAACACTCTGTTTGCTAACATCTACAACTGTATTGCCCTTACATGAACAAGTTCTGATCGAGTCATGTACATGGCGCGTTTGATTCACTTGTAGTAAAAAAGTATATCGATATATAGAAAAAGATATAGATATAGAAATCTGCAGATAACGCAACAGGTTTTCTTGAATACATGCGCATCATTTCTATAGCATGTGGAGGCCTGTCCTTTCAAGCCAGAGCAAACGTGCTAGGAACGACTCCAGTGCTCCTACTTCATCCGCCACAAGTTCACTTCAGACATAGCGGGCTTTGCCGCGACCTTCCTCGCTGGCTACATCCTGCACCAGTGGGGAATCGGCCTCTTCCATGTGTGGCATGAGCGAGTGCTGCACAGCCTTTAGGCGCCTTTAATTCAGGTGGAGTGGTCTCCTGCCAAATCTTTAAATCCTTGCAAGATCTTACAAGTTTGTTTTGGCTAAGGAACCCTTGAGAAATTTAAAGACTTAGGACATCTCTGATTCGTTCTTATTCTAAGTTAGGATTTGCAAAGCATTGCAAGGTTCCCGATTTTGAGACAACTCGGAAGTTGTCTTCTCTCAGTTTTTCGGGAAGGTCAGATGCGACCCGAGGGCAAACTTCGGGTTTTGCACGATCATCCCTCTGACTTCACTGAGAACGGTGTGCAGCTTCTCTTGCTCTCGTAGCAGTGGTTCAAAGGGCACACTCAAGAGTGAGGCATGTCACGTGCTGTGCTAAACTGAAGGATCGCACACATCTGCGGCACAAAGGGTCCATGAGCAGACCTGCGGGAGGTGCTGTGCTTTGTCCCCAGCTTCTGACATGTTCTACTCGCACACATTCTGATCCGTGAAGTGACCCCCACATCAACTGGTGGGGTGGCAAGCTCACAGCTGCCAGACAGGTGACATCAGGGGTGACCTTAAACGTGCATCCTTGCCATCCTAAACTCATTTCGTCAGTCCCTGCTTTTGATGATCCCTAAAGTGTCCCCAAGCATCCTGTGCCCATGTGCACGAAACACCCGTGCCCAGAGTGCCCCAACAGGGGTTTAAGGGGGTCCCCCAAGCCACCAGGCACTCCCGCGGTGCACCATTTTGCAAGATGAGGGCAGATGCACAGCGCACCTTTCCCCCTTTCCCCGTCGTTCAGGGCGAGAGTCTCATTTGAGTGTCTGATCAGTACTTCTCTCTCTCCTCTCTCTCCCTCTCTCTCTCTCTCCCTCCTTTGCAAGTGCTTGGCTGCAGCTGAGCAGTCTGAGCTACTGCTTGCAGCCTTGAGCTTAGCTTTCATTTGCAGGTTTGCGGGCTGGAGTGTGGACATGTCGGCTGCGTGTTGGAAATGCAGACCTGTTTCTGTGAAGCGATCGCATATTCTTGACAAGGCATTGATTGGTACGCAACCGTTTTGTGTCACGCAAACCTGGTGATCTTGATCCCCCAAGGCTGAGCCGCAGGCATCAGGCCGAACTAAGGTGACGAATGGTGACGATGTGACGATATGCCAATGGAATAGGTGCAGTGAGTAGTGCATCAATGAATTAATGCGGTGAGTGTAGCGACATTTCGGGCAGTACATCATGGAATGCTGGGATGAAACTTACACAGAGGAACAATGTTGCAATCTGGTGCATGGTCCAGAAGGAGACCCCAACTGCTGGGGAGATTCACAGTACAGCTTCGACTACTGTTGCAACCCACCCTCAAGTTCCAGTTTCGCAGATCTGCAGCTGGAAAGCTGGAGAGGCACCGGCACTGCCGCAGAATGTTGGGATGAAACTTACACGGAGAAGCAATGTTGCAATCTGATGTATGGTCCTCAAGGAGACGCCAACTGCTGGGGAGATTCGCAGTACGGCTTTGACTACTGTTGCAACCCACCCTCGAGATCCGGTTTGGCAGTTCTCCAGCACCTGGACAACTGGAAGGCAACCGGCATGCTGTCGCTACCTGGTGTCTCAGAAGCCGACATGCGAACATGTGTGCTGGCTATGGCGCTCTATTCAAGCAAGTGCATACCTGTGATGTTCAAGGCGCTTCAGGTGTCTTTGGATAAGTCCAGAGTCATACAACGCATTGGCCGACTCTGCGTGCAAGACCCATGCACGCGTGATGTGCTTGAAAAGGTCTTCGTTCCAGAGGAGCTGCAGAAGCGAGGAGAGCTGATCAATGGCACTTTCGTCCAGGCGCTGGTATTTTCAAGAGCGTACATGACACCCCTGGACTGGTCTTACCTTGCTCCCTTCATTCCCTTAATCTGCCTTGCCCCTTTTGCTTGGCAATGGCAATTGAATCGCCCGAAGAGAACCGCTTCAAGAGAGATAGTCTTGGATCTGGCACGGCTGGCGGCCACCATCTGGACACTGATCTGGCATGCGGAACAAGCTTTAACTTGGAGAGGGAATTCTGGCAGAGTGGCACGATACATGGCGACGACATTGGGGAATGGAGCCTTCATCGCCATGTCAGCGATCTTGTTAGAGGAGCGCTACTGCCGGAGGACAATCAAGTCGCTGCCTTTGACGCTCCTACAACGAATGGTTCGAGTCGGGAGCATCTTAGCCTTGAACGCGGCTCTCGTGACCACGGTCGCGATTCTTCGCGCAAACGAAATGGACCTGATGATGCACAGCCCCCAGCATGATGACCTGATTCCTGACAAGAAGTTGTTCTACAAGAACAATCTTCTCGAGCCCTGCTGCAAGAGCGTGGTGGAAAACGGCCTCTTGACCGATCTCCGAGGGAGGTCCTTCCTGCATCTGGCGGAGCCTCCTCTCTGCAACAGTGGCACCTGGTTCTTCTACTACGAGCTGCGAGCCTGGTTCATCGGGAATCTGGTTTTAGCCTTTCCTTACTGCTCTTACAGCTTGACGGCGCTGGTGCCTCTTGCCATCCTTGCCTCCATACCCTGCGAGTTGACCTTCACAGGTCGCAAGCCTGCGAAAGAGAACTTTGGGCATCTCCCATCGTTCCTCCTGGAGCTGGCGGATTCTGGGCTGAAGCTGGTTCCCTCCTACATCTTGAACCTGGCCCTGGCCAGACTCCTGAGGCACAGGAGGAAAAAGCAAGCGATACCGATGCCCGCCGCTGCTCTTTGCTCTGTGGGCTCTTTGCTCGGTCTTCTTGCCTGCGCCTTTTTTCCCATCCCCTTTGCGCAGACCCCGGGCTACCAGAGCCTCCTTCTCCAGCTTCTCATCGAGCCCTTTCGAGGAGAGTGTTTGCCCAAGCTGCAGAGGCTGGGAGGCTGGGGACTTTTTGCCTGGATCGCCTGGATCGCTGACCGCGTCGACGTCCTGCTGGTCTTCAACTTCCTGGTCTACGTCATTTTGGGGACTTATCAGAACCAGGTGCTGCAAGTTCGATGCCTGGAGATCCTTGGCATCTCGGGGGCACTCTTGGCATTTGGGCTCCTGGCGCATTACCTGGTCCAGTTGCCTGCCATCATGATCTGCTCGCACTTCTGCAAAGTCTGCGAAGTCTCTGCGAACTGGCTTTCCAGCACTCTTGTGCGCAAAGCAGCCGAAGCATGCATCATCCTAGGTGGCTTCCTTCACTTAGCTTGTGCTAGAAAGTCCAAATCGGATTCGGAGCTACTAGTAGCTAGTACAACCGACCCTCAGCACTGAAATCCTTGGACTACTGCACGGCCCGAGCGCGGCTTTAAACCTATAAGAGCCCGGGAGCCTGCCTCACCCACGTTCTGAAACCATAAATGTGTCCAAAGCCCGAAGTCTTCGAAACCCAGACCGAAAACTCCAGAGATGCGAACGAAAGCTGGTAGAGACTCTTGCGCGCCCGTAATCTTGGGGTTAGTAACGGTAGCACTTCGCAGATCTTGATAGCGCCACTCGCGGCTGATTTGCAGCTGTTGTTCTGCGATGGCAACAGCTGCCGAGAGTCCTGGCGGCACTTCTCAGGTTTGTGCGGTGATTTTCGTCCTTGCCATGGTTCTGGCGCCCATGGGGATGGTGAAAGGGCTTATTTTGGGGAATACGTGGGGCTTAACGGGCCTGAATTGCCCGGATGGTGCAGGTTCCTCGTGACAGTCTCGTATAAACGTACAACGCATTCCCGCCCCTCCCCCCTTCCCCAAGAAAAACAAACAGAAACCCAACGACCCGGGTCTACGAGCGCCACTGAGAATTCCTCAGCCCCCAGCTGCTCTGTGGGTCTTCTCCCCGTTTTCCGTCTGTGCAGATGGGATGAGAAGCGCAGACTTTCGTTTCGGCTGCTTTTCCCAAGAGTGGAGGCTTCCGGATCAAGGTCAGGCTTTAATTCTTGGGGGCATGGCGGCATGCAGCCCAAAACCATCTCTGCAACCATCCTAAACATCCTACTCTTGCTGTTCCGGGCGTATCACATAATTGACGAGAAGGTCATGAAGGTCATGATGCTCATGATGTTCCATTGACACCTCGAGTGGCACTGAGTGGGGTGTGGCGGAGGCTCGGAAGTCTTTGCTATTCAGCCCTAACGCCATGGTCTACGTGCTTTGTGAAGGGCTGCTGTTTTTGCAGTGCCTAGAGGGTTGAAGTAGCTAGGTGCTGAAACTGAAACTCCCCCGCCTGGACTTTCTGAGAGAAAAGGAGAGAATGCCCTGCGACTTTCTCAAGAGCGCAGTTGCTTGCTCATGCTGCCTACAAGGCTCATGTTAGACTCAACAGTTGCCTTAGCAGCAACGCTCCGAGGCCCGCGCAGACATCGCATGCTGCAGGACCCATAGCAACACATTGCACAAAAGATCACAAAAGGTGAACAGGAGGAATTGTCCGGTCTCGAACTGCGCCATGGAGCAGTCGCCCCTCATTGGTGAGAGCGTGTACGCTCCCAGCTGGCCTGTGGTGCAGCCGCCGGAACCCTCCTTCTACTCCCAGGGCTGCTGCCGAACCTGCTTAAACATCCCCGGTGCCTTCGGCTGTGGAGGTTGCCGCATTTGCTGCTACTCGATCTTGGCCTTGCCGCTCTTCGTCTTGCTGTTGGGGCTGTATCCCGTTTTGGCGGCACTAGTGCTGGTGCTTCTGGTCTTGCTTGGGCTGCCCATCAGCTATGCCATCATCTACCTTCTCTGCCTAAACCCGCCGCCGGAATTGGCCTGGAAGTTTGCGAAGCTCACCCAGCTGCTCCGACTTACTTTCTACCAGTTTCCGAAGCCCTCCGAGTGGAGAGTGGATCAGCTCGCACCCAAGGGAATTCTGCAGACGGGGCTCTTGCAGTACGCCATCGCGATCCGAGTTCCCTTCCTCCAGCAGGATGAGCTCTATGCCGGTGGGCTCTTTGAGCGAATCCTGCGTTCCGCCCCATCGCCAGAGTTTGTGACTTCCGGCATCTTCAGCACGCTACCTCAGAAGAAGCTCAAGGAGATGTCCCTGTTCAGGGAGGGGGAGAACCCCGTGGAGTATGTCATGAACGTGGTGCAAGACATCTACCCACGCATCATCCAAGAGTGGGCTGGGTAGGCCCTTGGGAGATTTTCTATGTTTTTGTTGCCTTTTTTCAGAGGATCCTTTTTTGAGAATATTTTTCAAGGAGGGTTCAACCATTGACAAGGGCCAGCCAACCTAGGTGGACCGACAAGACTTCAGACCGTGCTCTGACTCACCTGTGCCTACATGGTCTTGGTGCTCATCGTTTAGACCTGGCGATGAATTTGGAAGTATGTTACTTTTTTCACATGCACACATACGTAAGTTGCACTGTGCCCCCGAACCGCGAAACAGATGTCTCCTCACATTCCCCAACATCACATCTCTCCAGGAGCGAGCCGACAGCCGGGCTCACCCTGGCTGCAGCTATGTGGTGCGCACCAATCAGCTGTCGACCCTTCCGGTGCGTGAGGGATATGAGACATATGGTGGCCTTGAGAGTTGTGCTATTAAATTTCTCTGCTTTTGTCAGCTTGAGCGGAAAGGAAAAACAGTTCAGTCAAAATCTTTCGTCTAGAAATCTACACCATGCTTTTCATCAAGGTAACGACGCCTACTTCGACCAGGATTTCCGTGCGGTGAAGATTGTGCGCTTTGAGAACGGGGAGGTTTGGGAGGACCAGAAGGTCACGACCTTCCTCGCAGATGGCTCTCGGGATTGGGAGTATGCGAAGTTTTGCTTCCGGTGCTCGCTCTTCACCTTGGTGACTCTGGTGGACCATCTGTACGGGGTCCATTTGCAGCTTGCAAATATTGGGGTGCAGGCTATGAGGGAGCAATTGTCCGTGGACCATCCGGTCAGGCGATTCTTGGTGCCTTTCTCTTATGGGAGCATCAATATCAATGACTTGGCTCGAACGACCTTGGTGACCCGGGACTCCTGGTTGCCTCGTGCAGTGGCGCTGGACGATGAAGGCTTGCAGTTGGCTTGGGCTTCGGCTTTCCAGATCCTACCGCCGGACTACATCATCACCGAGACTTAGACTCACTCGGGACATGAAAAAAGAAGTATATAGTTCGTGAAATTCGGAGTACAACTACACCCCCCCGCCCCCAATTCTAGAACCCTCCACGTGCTTAGATCGGGCTACCTATTTTTCCCTCCTCCCCCAACCTAACCCCAAACCCTAAACCCTAAACTCTAAACTACCCCCTCGTAACCCTGCCTTGCGGTTCGGCCAGCTATGCGGGAGCGAAAAAAAACACTACCCCCTCCCCCCCAAAAAAAATAAAAAAAACAATAACAAGACACTTCGTTGGTTAAGGAGAGCGACCCCATCAAGATGCTGGAGTTCATCTTCGACCGCGAGGCGCAGATCGAGAAGAAGCGGAGCCAGGGCCTCTTCACGGCCTACTACAAGCAAGCCTTGCAGCACCTTAGGGAGACTTGGGAATTATCTTTTACCCTTTGGGTACCATATTTAAGTCCTAAGAGACAGCTGAAATGATTCTTTTTGCTAGGGTTTTTCAGTGTAGTGAAGGTACTGGAAGATCTTGCATGGCTTCGTGTCACGCTACCTGGACCACTACTACGGCACAGGGGCCAAGGGGGATTTGGCCATGGCGGCAGATCAGGAGCTGAGGCTCTTCATGCTGCAGGTCGTCAACCTGGTCCAAACCCTCGCAAGCCCCTTGAGCGGGCACCATGTGAATGAGATCTGGCCCTCTCTCAGCGACTCACGGAAGCGTGGGATCATGACGAACTTCATCGCGCGCTTCTGCGAGCTCGCCACGGCAGGGCATGAGCAGGTGGGTGGCGTGCAAGCCTACGCCCAAGATCCTTCCTTCTGCTCCTTCAGCTGGCCCAAGACGCTTCGAAGGGAAGGTGTTCTTGCGGCGCCCAAGGAGGTCGGTGTGGGCGTTGCCTTGATCATGGCCCTGACCAGTACACCCATGCCAAGGCTCCTGGCAGCTGGGTGTAGGGCCTGGGGGATGTTTTCTATTTTCCCTTTACTGAGTGTTAAGAGGGTCATACTTTGAGGAATATGATTCTTTCAAGGGGTTTTTGAGGGCCATCCTAGGTAAGGGAGCCCACGGATGACTGGTCACATCTCTTCCCGGCACCATCGGAATCAGATCGGTCTCGGGTCCACGCGATCTTCCAACGATTCCAATCAGAGCTTCAGACCTTCTCCGAGGAGTGTGACTGGCTGGTCTTCAGTTTGTGCATCCTTTTTTTACGAGTGCATAGAGCAGAAGGGGGCTCCCCCGTTTTAAGAGTTATGGAGCCTAGACCCTAAAATCGTGCGGCTTTTTGTGTGTCCGAAAGCGCCCGAAAGCGTCCGAAAGCGTCGCGCAAATCGAGCTGTAGTTGCGCGGAAGCCTTCGGCATTTCGGCCAACGGGTTTGTGTCGGGCCTTTGAAAGAGGATTCTTTAGAAAGGGTGTTTTCAAAGGGTTTGTTAAAAGCCCTCTCAAAAGTGCTGTTACAGTCAAGAGGATTCGAGGCCCCTGTCAGGTGTGTTTCAGGTGCGCCCAATCCTCGTATTCGTCACTCCTAAAGCGTCGATTGTTGTTCACATCTCAAAAGTGCGGACCGTCACGAGGATGAGGCACGTGGGGTGCCGTCATGCTTCGTTGTTTAAGCTTCTTCTTGTGTACGAGCGAGGATGAGGCAAGTGGGCTGTGCCCGCGCCATCCTCGCAACTGTCGCCTTCTTGGAAGCTTCGTTTGTTGTTCGCGTCTCAAAAGTGCGGACAGTTACATGGGTGGTTGTCAAAATTATGGTTTTTTTTGGATCCTTATCAGAATACGGCACCTAATACTTAGGGTACCCCAAAAGGGATCATCATTTTGACAACCGCCTGGGGATGAGGCATGTGGGGTGCGCCATCCTCGTATCTGTCGCCGCTTTTGTCCCAAAACGGACTTGTCTACCCACCATACATGTCTGTTTCTTGTGTTTGAAAGGCAATGGGTTGATGTCCGGCGATGCATGGCGTGTGTGCTGTATCCATGCCCCTGGTGTGGATTGAGGCGTGCTGCATGCGATGTTTGAAGTGTTCGTGTCTGTGCTATTGCGGTGTGGTGGCATCTGTAGTTCGTGACTGCACGGGCATCGCGTCGGTTGTGTTCGCCATGCACTTGATCTGCATTCGGGTTCGTGGCTCCCATCGGGCTCTACTGTTCATTCCTGTCGAGGGTTGGTGGGCAGACGATTTCAATCACATGTACTTGCTCCAAGCACATACTTTTTCATGTAGTCCCTTCTAGTCAGTGTGCGCAACTTGAAAGCACCAAAGGCGATGACTACAATGCCGAAGCGAAGAACAGAACCTTCCCAAATGACTTTGGGATCTGGGTCTTCAACCCCAAGTACCTGGAGACCAGCGTCTCGATATGAGAATGTGACAGCAGCCGCGGCACACAGGGGGGGAGTTCCACAGGACCTACAGGAGCCCCCCCCCCCCCATTTCTTTTGAGGAGTGGCGAGGCGCCTTTTGCACAAGGACGAAGAGCGCCTCGTGGCTCGTGGCGTCAAGCCGCTGTCTCAGGGATGTGGTGTCATTGTTGTTGGAGAAGTATAACCGTTAGAATGGAAGGAAGCTAAAAGGAAGCTAAGCAGCTCGCGCAACTTGCTATAGGCCACGCCAGATTCACCCCCTGCGCTGTTGGCTGCTTTTTTGTCCAGCCAAGCGCTGTCTCAGCACGCGAATGCTGCGGCTGCTTTGCGCGACCTCGTGTTGGTAGCCCGCCCTCAGAAGCAGGGATTTGGTCTGCTATGGAAAACTGAGTAAAAGCGCCACTCTGTGCTTGTCGGGGGAAGACGTTAGACTCACTGGTTCTTAGTAGAAGGCGCATAGACAGTGCATCTACCCAAGTGCTAGTTACTCCGACTCCCACTACGGCATGTCGTATGGCTATGATTCTACAGGTACTACTACGATGAGTATTGTTACCGTAGAATGAAGCGTGCTCCTGCCAAGCAGCATGTACAATCAACTAATCCCTTCCCTCCAGCATTGAAGCCCCCCCTACCCCTCAGGATTAAATATTGGGTAACTCCTGGACAACCCGTACTTCAACCGCCAATTCCCTGCAGAGTGTCCGAGAGGTCAGCTAAGCGGGTGGCAAAAAACAAATGTCGGGTAGGGGGCTTATTATTAGGGGGAGGGGATGAAATGAATAGCAAGTTTGCAGTTGGCTTTGGACGAAGCGCTTTTGCCATGTCACGGTTTCGTTTTTCAAGCTCGTTTGCCTTGTTTTTGTCAGGCTGCTGCTGCTTGCCGTGGTGCCCGGCTTCTGCTGGGGTACTTGTCAGTTGTGTCACATGTCTTCACGTGCTCTTGGCGCCACCTGTGCCTTTCGGTTCTCAGATCAGGCAATACCTGGCAAGTTTCGTTTAAACGACGGAAGATCACGGGAGAGCAGGCTTTGATCCTCAACTGCAGCCTGTATGTAGAAATGACGGGCCCCCAGTTCCATACGCTCTTAGTACATGGGTTGAGGAGTTAGGAGAGAGGGTTCGTGTTGAGCACGCACGCGTCGGCGCAAGGCACCCCCCCCGATCTTCCGCACACACAGGTTTCACAGGAGGCTGGCCGGGGCAATCTGCGGGAAAGAGCACGGTCCCTTGAAACTCGGTTGGGTTCCGGCATCTGCAGAGAGCTAGAAGCAAAAAACCTGTCTTCCTCGGCGCCAGCCTCCTCTCCGTCCATGCAGCTTCAGACGCGTGGTGCGATGTGCGCTGTGAGATTTGCGATGCTGACGATGGCTGCCGCCAACAGCTGGAACTTGCTGCAGCCCACGAATGGCCCGGCTGCCCGCAGTCTCTTCGGACAGCAAGGAAGTGAAAAGAGAGGTTCTGGCTTCTGGGGAGACAGGAGTGTCATTCAGCCCTCCTCTCTCAGCCCTCTCAGCCTCAGCCCTTAGACTTCCATGCCCTTCGCCTCACGTGTTTGGCGGCCCGGAATTCCATGACAAGTTCAGTGAAGTGACTAGGTCCCTAGGTCACGGTCCCGTTGCTAGCGGGAAAGCTTCGCTGTCATGTGGCCTCAAGAGGTTGGCGGCACCTCTTTTGTTTTGGTGTCCGAAAAGACAATCAAAACTCACCCAGGTGGGCACACGATGGTCTGGGATTCAGGTGCCGATGGTGCTGGTGAAGGCTCGCACACCGGACCCTGCTCTCTAGCAAGTAGGCTCGTAGTCTCTTCGTGCCTCTTCGAGCAAACGCCTGGTTCCCATTTTCCGGAACCCCCCTTGCTTGGTTGCGCGACAAAGCCGTCTTCAGGTCTTCATGCCTCAGTGCAACAGCACCTCAAAAGCCACAAGCCGAAAGCCAGAGTGAACCCAAAACCCTTGAGACCCCTTGAGACCCCGTTGCTAATCCCTCCTGGAGAAGGGCCCTCGCCGACAATCCTCTGCAAGCGCTCTTCCCGGGATTGAGACCTTCTTCGTTTTGGGAGTTCGGTTCCCGACGCTCCAGGCCCTATAAGGCCCTAAGACTCCCAGCAGGCTTCTTGATGTTCGGTGGCGAGCTGTTGGAAAGCGTCATGTCCGGCGACCTGTACTTCTACGGCGTCACCTCGCAGCTGCGCTGAGGTGCCCCCGAAAGCCCCCTATGCCCAGGCAACCCAAGACCCTCACTATTGAATGCGCCTCTTCAACCAGCATGCTGAGAAAAAAACTCAATTGGGGACGCGGGGTCTCTCAGGTGAACCCGAAGCCTTCCGAGCCCTCTGAAGCCCCAACAACCCATTCAAGCCGAGAAGCCCCATGCCCAGTCGGTGGTTCATGGTACTTAGCAACCCAATTCGGACTGTAACTGCACTGATAATGCTAAACCCTCCCTAAACCCCAAACCCTAAACCCTAAACTCAAAACCTTAAACCCTAAACCCTAATCCCTCAACCGCAGCAAATCCTGAGAAGGAACCGGTGGACGCTGAAGTCTTCGGGCCCCGCAGCCACCTGGCCCCTTGAGAGATGTTCCACTAAAGGTCCAAAAGCTTTTAGGGTCTTTAGGAAGGTTACAAAGGAAATTGATGTGCTACTCTCAGTTTTCTTCTCTTTCGCCATACCTGAGGCCCGATACCGCCACTCTGCAGTGATTGACCCCACTGCCAGGGCCATGTACCTTCCGGCAGCCTTAGCAGGGGGGGGGGGGCTTTTAGGGCTGAGATGGGTTTACGGCGGGGCACAAACAAAGACTGTTGGGAGTCAGGGTCTAACAAGGGCTTCGGTTCTTGTTTTAGAGGCTCTTCTTGTTGCTAAAGGGGGATTGGCGTGAATATGGCACCAGGGATCATGCAAGGATCAGCACTTGCGTGTGATTTTCTGTTGGGCCTTGTTGGGATTTGCAAGGTTTCGGGCGCGAGGACCACGCTGCGACCGTCTAAGGTACATATTTGCTGGCATGAGCCTTGGCGGCGCTGGCACAGCCAACACCTTTGGCGACCTCCATCGTTGCCCGGCTCGGATTTGGACATGTGCCTGCCGTGTACCGGGAGGTTCGTGCACCAGAAAAGGCAGGCCAGAACAAGATAAGATGAAGAAGCGGTTGAGGTTGTGCGCATGCAGGGCGCAGGAGCAGGCGGTGTTTGTTCGCTTCGGAGGTGTGGTGGCATGACCCCGCACATTTGTTGTAAGGCGATTCGCTTTACACACGCGTGCGTAGGGTCACTCACCAACCCTTGGAGCAGTGCACATGCCACACGCCCAAACGATGCCAGGCTACGATGTGGACCTCGACTCCTGGACCACATGTGGTGGTAGTCACCATATGTTAGGTTGGGTTCCTCCTCGAATATAAGGAGCAGCCCGGCGACCATCTGCACATGCGCACGTATCTGCGGTAAGGCTTCCATTTGTCCTGCAACAAATTACACAGGAGGCCACAGGGGGGGAGAGAAGCAACTACTCAGTCCTGCGCTGTCTTGATTCTTCTTGATGCCAGGCGAATGCGATAAACCCACCCGAAGCCTTTTGCCAACAAAAACAACTTTTGGCAGGACCGAGCTCCAAGGGACGGCCGGGCGCTCGCGGCACACTGCCGTGTGGGACAGCAGCTCCGATCGCATGATCGTGTTCGGTGGCGTGGACAGCATGCTGAACAAGATGGGGGACGTCCTCGAGCCTTGGTATCTAGGGATTCGGCCTTTCTAGGAGGGGGGGGGGGGCGGGGTGGAAGGTTGGTTGTCCCGGTCTAAGCCCCCCAAACTCTCTGGACGTTTGGACCCTGAACCAAATCTTGCAGGGGGCCCCCAAAGCTCTGGACCCTAAAACAACCCTCATACTGTAGACCCCCAAGCACCTCAAAGCATCCATAAACATGCGAAGCTCAGGAGTACGACCGCTCGTCGGACTCCTGGTCCTTCCCACAGGTTGAGGGCCCAGCGGCGCGCGACGGCCACGTGGCCGTTTGGGATGACGCCACTGGCCCTTTTGCTGAGCTTATGGATCCTGTTAAACTGGGCTGTTTTTATATTTAGCGACACTGAGTTCTAGGCATTTCGGGGAAACCAGGGGAATTGAGACCCAAAGAAGAATTCGAGTTGCTGAAAGCAGCTGCTCCCAGGCACCATGCTCATGTGCTGTGGCGTCACATCGGACTCTGGTGAAAGCTGGGGTGACCTGTGGTCCTATGACGGCAAGTGGGCCAAGCTCAGTCCATCCGGAGGCATCACCGCCCGGAGGCGCCTCAACGCCCGAAACCCCTCAAAACTCCAAAGCCCACCCCAAAACCTTACGCTTTCTCGCGTGCTCTCGTTAAGGCGATAAGGCGAGGGCCCTCTTGTTTTGGCAGGGCCGTTTTTGTCAATTCCATTCAATTCCTTTCTTTCTTTCTCTATCTCGCTCTCTCTCTCTCTCTGTTTCTCTCTTTCTTTCTTTCTTTCTTTCTTTCTTTCTTTCTTTCTTTCTTTCTTTCTTTCTTTCTTTCTTTCTTTCTTTCTTTCTTTCTTTCTCTCTTACTTGAGCTCTCGTGCTTTTAGCAAATGGTTCATCTCCTTGCGGGGAGTATTTGCGACGGTTTGACGACACGAAGCTGCACGAAGATGATGATTCGGCCATGCGGAATCTGATGATGAGCTAGTTAGCCAATGTTGCCGATCTCGCAACTTTTCGTAGAGTCGCAGAGGTATTTCGATTACGACTGCGATTACGGGCCTTCGAAAGAGCCTGGCAGTTTTTGCGCGATGCTCGAACTCCAAAAGTGAACACCTTCGCAACTATGTGGCGAACGTTCCTCGAAACACGCATGAAGCATGCTGACACTCATGAGGAATCTGATCCGATGGTGATGGTGATGATGATGATGACGATGATGACGATGATGATTTTGGTGGTGCCTCTGACCATGCCGCTGCTGATACTGATGACCATGCGATGGCTTCTTGATCTACACACAGAAGAGTCTGGCGCTTTGGTCTGAGTTGAGATGATTCGATCAGGTACACCTCGGCAGTCTGGGATCCGCAGGCGCGTGCCATGCTGGGCTTTGGGGGAAGAGAGACCCCAGAGGCGGCACTGAACTCCCTGTTCCTGCGGCCTGGCGATCAAGCGTTGCTAGATATTGCCGGCTTTGCAACGTTGGCTTTTGCCGCAAAAGTTGTAGGCATCTTTTTGAGGAGACTGTGAATTGTTTTGTGTTGGAAGTGAACTGCCAAGCACCAAAGAGTCCCTGGAAGGCCAAGGACGGTCTAAGTTTAAGTGCGCAGTCATGTCACCCAAGCGCGCCAGTGGGACAAACCCTGCCAGGGAAGTTCTTCGGCGATAGCTTCCGCTTTTAACCGTATAGACCCTTCAAGAAGCATTGCCGGGAAGTAGACGTGGCCTTTCATAGTGCCCACTCACGACACCAACGACATGGGGTGAGGTATTCTACCAGCACCAACAGCTGGAGCGAATACACGGTGTCGGGCGCTCCTGCTCAAGACACAGGCAGGACCAGGTCCACTTGACTATTAAACTTCGCATCAAGATGACTTCATACTAAAGTGAGTGGTTTCGGTACTAATCTTCATGATGAACCTTTGTGGTGTCTCTGTGTTTGAGGGACAGTGCCCTGAGGCGCCACTGCCTGGGACCCTGTGAACAGTCACCTTTACGCCTTCGGTGGCTTGGACCAGCAGGGCCCCTTAGACTCCCTGTGGAGGTTGGACGCGACCCACACGTCCATCACCAGCACCTGCGCAGAATTTTCCGCAGGGCTTGCAGATGTTTTTGGCTCGTTGTTGCAGTGCCTTAGGTCCTTAGGTATGGTAGGAGGCCGAAGCTGTAGATGCCACCTCAGGTACTGCGACTTCAATCACACACACAGCCACATCGACAACTTCTTCCTCATTCTCGGAAACTTCGTCCTCCGCGACAACATCGACCAAAGCCTACCCTAGCACGAGTACTAAAACGTGGGCTCCCTTGACGACAACGTGGACGAAGTATTTCCCTACCCAAAGTACTACCCGAAAGCAGTCTCCCACTGACACTGCGGAGCTGTTGGGTGACCTCGGCAACTCCGAAGGGGAGCTCGCTCGGCAGCTGGTAGCCACGCTGGGCAGCGGCAACAGCTCCAACTCCTCAGGCATCCTGGGACGCGCCCTCACGCAGTCTCACTTGGCGACCATTCAGACCCTGGCGTTGCAGCTTGGTTTCGGTGCGTTTCGGGGTCGTTGAGGTTAATAGTATCATCAAGGTTTGGATGAAAGCTTGATCGGTGCCGTTCGCTTGCAGACCAGCACAGGGACAGCCTCGCGATCTCCGACATGAGCCACAACGTCACTGTGCAGAGCGCCAGCGCCAGCGTGGAGATTCCTCCGGACGTCGTTGCCCAGGTGCCAGAGGGCCCGGTGTAGAGAAGATTTGAAGGAATTCTACATGTACCCCTTTTGTTCTGTTGCTGAGGTACTCCTTACCCCCCCCTCCTGCCCAAGTTGTCAAAAACAGGCTGCAGCTGCTGGCGGCAGCGGTCTGGTGCTGCTCAGCGTCTCGGTGGGCCTTGCAGAGCTCGGGACTGGGCTCAACGATTCCGAGGGCGGCGCAGGCGGGAGCACGCGGGCTTGAGTGATTCCTGTCCGAGAGGGTTGGGACATTCTGACAATTCTGACCTGCTTCTCTGGCTACCAAAAATCTGTGCGCTTGGTTTTCTGCGGCTTCTCCTGGAGGTCATGCTTTGGTCTCCCGGCCAGTAAGCATCACCTTCCGTGGGCTTGATGGCAACAGGATTCCAATGCCGTCGCTGGCGCGGCCCATCGAGGTTCTGATCGTGGGAGCGACCGAAGGCTCCTGGTGTGCTTTCTGGGACGAGGAGCGACGCCCCCTCCTAAGCCCGATCAGCAGCCCTTCTCTTGTGAGCTTAGGCAAGCTAGCTTCAACTCTCCCTCATTCCCAAAAACTGGCAAAAGCATTGTGTTAAAAGGATATCCCGATATGCGCTTGTCCCTGACTTTGAACTTTTTCAAAGAGGACACCGGCACCTGGTCGTCGGAGGGCTTGCGTGCGGTGTCCTTCCGGGACGGGGAGTTGCTATGCCAGACCTCACACCTCACCGCCCCTCGGCGGGGCTTTGTTTTTTTGGGGGGCTGTTCTCAAGCTCACCAAGCTCTGAAGAAGCGCTTCAAAACCCTAAATGTCCCTAAGAGCGCTAAGCCGCTAAGCCCTACCCTTAGGAATCGACCCCCATCTGCGCCAGAGGTCTTTGGGGCGGTTCTGGAGACCTTCCTCCAGGTGCTCCGGTGCTCCACCGCCGCGCAGGTGTTCTCTGCGGAGGGCTTCGAGAACCTCAGCAAGGGCACGCCCAGGGGGTAGGAGTCGAGGGAATCGTGGGATTCGTTGGAATCGTGGGATTCGTGGAAACTTGGAGCTTCAGTGTGGGGTTGAGCGGCTGCATGCGCTTCCGAGTTGTGTCGCGCATCGGCGCGGGGGAAACAGGCATGGCACACCCTAAACTTGGAAGCAAACAGGCGCCTGGCCCGGCCATGCTCCCGCCATCATTACCTTCAGCGTCGCCTGGTTGCGGAGCAGTGGGCATAGTGGGGTTCGGGATGTGCAAGGCAGAAAATCTTCTTGTTAGCAAGGAGGAGGTAGATAGTAGAGAGGGTAGTCACGGGTAGTCTTAGTCGATGGGAGGAAAGTTGTAGTCCGCAGTAGTGGTCGCTACAAGAGTCTTGACGTTATGAAGAACGGCGGAGACGAAGCTGCAATTCCGTGTTGCAAGGCAGAGCCTCGATGTCGATGAATTTGTCATGTGTGATGGTTGGCTGAACATGCGCGGTGGCCCAAACTCTGCAGGGCTTCTTTGCACGCGTTTTGTGCGATCGTCTGCGAGAGTCACGGCGTATGCACAGCAGCATACCGTTCGTTTGACCGCGGAAGTTTGGACGGAGAAGCTGGCCCAGCGGCATGAAATTTCCAGTCCAACGAAGACGGGACGCGCACGAAGAAGGGTCGCAAGCTGCGAAGAGTCCCGAAGCATGAAACCCAAACCCCAAGTAGCAATCTGGAGTAGCTTCAGGTGGCCGTCGGTTCCGATGCATCATCTGCACCAGCCACAGAAACAAAACGAGCACAAGGACGGAAGCCGCGCAAACGCTACTACTTTGGTTAAGCCCCCTCCGAGTGACAGTTCGTAGCCTACCACTGCAAGGAAAAATGAAAGCACAACTGCAAGTGCCAGATTCTTTTTGAATGCATTAATCGTACAACAATCTCTCGGACTGTGCCCACAGCACACGGCCGGGGCCCAGCGCGGAGCGCCTGCCACGACTACTGCCGCAGCTTTTTTTGCCCGGGCGGCAACACTGACGCAAAGGGCGGCGGTGTACCCCACGCAACGTATATGTGCATGCGTGCATGTACTGCTGTATATCATGCGGAGTTTCAGCCGTTTCGCCTTGTCTTTTGGCTACGAATGTTGCAAGCGCTTGCGCCAACGATGAGGAGTTGTGCCGCTTTTGCTCGCTGAAAATGACTCCAGTTTGGTTGTCCACTTGCAAGGCTCTCTTCGTCTGCCTGCTGTTGCTCCTGTATGCCCTACGGCTTGACAGAAAGCGGGCGCTGTCCAGGATTGGGCTGCTTGGTGGTGCTTCGCTGTGCTGGCATGATCACATTGACATACTCCAGCCCCCTAATCTGCAGTCTTCGAAACCCCGCTGGACAAGCCATATGGGCCACCTTTCTCAAGATGCGCCTGGCATCGTGACAGGAAGCAGGTCGAGGCCGCTTTGCTTATCGAGTTGGAAGTGGACAAGCAGGAGGATGCTGCTGACGACTATGCGCAGGAGGAAGAAGAGGAGGTAAAGGCAGAGAAGGCCGCGGACATGTTGATTTCGGCACGAGTCCGCTTTGAAGACTAGTGCTGAGAGATTGGGATGCCAGGTTCGACAGCCCAGCGTATGCCGTCAGGCTTCTTGGCAGCTCTTAGGAGCAGAGAAGAGCAGAGAGGTGTTACTAATAAGTTGCGGGCAAGAAGTTCTCCCAAGAGGGCAGACCACGGCGCTCTCAGGCCGCGGCGCGCTTGGCGTCTCCTTTCGCCTGGCTCCTCAGCCAAATGTTCGACGTCCCCGACGCCGACCTGCTGACGGAGTTGATGACTGCCAAGGCAGACGCAGCAGCTCGAAAATCCTCGCCAAAATCCCTTCAAAATAGCCTCTCAAGAAAGCCCACAGAATGCGCAAAAGCCCCCAGGTGGTTACGGTCAACCGCTGCATCAGCTCTCTGCACGCCTACACGAGCCAAGCGGACCGTCAGAGCATCCGTGCGGCGGAGACACCGGTGGGCCACGTGCAGCTCGCCACTGAAAAAAGGAGACTCAAGGAAACAGCTTGCGTTTGAATGTAGAGCGGTTTTGGCAGGTTCGGAACGGAGGACAAAGGATCCCCAAGTCAAGCGATTAGGCGCGCACGACAAGCTGCCTTAAGAGCGCGCTATTGCCACTCCGTGCCGAGGCGCATGCGTCACTCGGCCACAGCCGGTGTGTCAGTGACCGTCGAGGACTTCGTGCGGATGGACCAGACCACGGACCAGGGCAAAGACAAGTCCTTGGCTGCGAAGGACTTTTTGAACAGCTTCTGGTGCAAGCGCGTGGTTCTGCTGATGCGGGCCATGCATCCCTGGGTCACCATGCAGTTTGTGAGCTTGTTCAGATCCCATGTCGTCCCCTGGCAGGCCCTCGGGATGTTGTTCTATTTTCTCTCTCTCTCTCTCTCTCTCTCTCTCTCTCTCTCTCTCTCTCTCTCTCTCTCTCTCTTCTAGTTTACTTACTCTAGGCTTTACATAAGCTTAGTTGAGGAGATCAGTTCTCTGAGAGTTTATGCGCCAAGGTCCGAGCCTCCCTGATCATTCTGAAGCTGGTGTCTGCCGCTTGTGCCAACGCGCTCTTCTTCACCAGCTCGGCAGCCTCTCGGCTCTTGGAAGTCCGATTAATGGAGGCCCATTTCAGGGGTCAAAGATTGGGGTCTGTGGGCAGCTTAAGGGAACAACGTCAAATATTGAGGTTTGTAGGGGTTAGGGTTGGGGGTTGGGGGTTGGGGGTGGCGGGGGGGGGGGGGGGGGTTGTGGCTATTTCCTGGGCGGCTGGCCCCATGGCGGTGCCCTAGGCTCGCCTGCAGCCCAGGACATCGCATCGATGGCATGAAGCCTTTTTCTCGGGGACGCCCGGTTTTGGCCACCCCGAACGACTAGTGTCGCTCGGTTTTGGCCACCCCGAATGACTGCTTTACTCAATGTTTCGCCCGGTTTTGGCCACCCCGAAAAACCACTTTGCTCAATGTGTCGCCCGGTTTTGGCCACCCTACTGTACCCAACTTTACTAAATGTGTCGGCCGGTTTTGGCCGCTCTTGAAGAACAGCTCGGCTTTCGGCTCTTGGAACTTCGAGAGATGGAGACCCGTGGGTTTGTAGGGGTTAGGGGTTAGGGGTGAGGGCTGAGGGGTTAGGGGGTTTGGGGGGGGGGGCGGGGGGCGTTTGTGGTTCACATTGCAGCTACTTCCTGGGCGGCTGCGATGGTGCTGCCATATAGGCTCGCCTCCAGCCCAGGACATCGCCTCCATGGAGTGCCTTTTTTCTCGGGCGCAGCCCCTTCAGCACGCCCCCTGCGGCTCCTGGAACCGGAGCCGCCTCCTTATGCCGTATAGGGCCCCCGCAAGCGAAAGCTTTGGTCACGAATCCAAGAGCGGCAACCCTGCAGTTCTGCACTTAGAGCCCCAAGCAGTTGGAGAAGTTGCAGGCCCGCCACAATCGTGCCTCAACTGCCTTCGCATTCTCCAGAAGCCTTTCGAAACCCACTCTCTGCATCCAACAAGATTCACAGCTCCGGCGCGCAAGTTCGCAGCAGACCCTAAGACCCAGGTTGCGGCCGACGCGGACATGGGCTGTGGGCCGCTAGAGACCGCCGGCGAGCGCCTGCTGCGCGCAGCCATCGTTGGCATCCTCTCCGCGTGCATGGGCGACCTGTGCTCCGGTTGCACAAAAAACGCAGACGGGTTCCGGGCTTTAGGGGCAGATGAGGGTTAGCATGAGGGTGCATGTTTCGGGCACCCAAATTTTAGGAGTATTCGCGCGAATCGGGACACCGTGATTAGAAAGAGCAGCTTCAATAGATCTCAAAGAGATTGCCAACGGATATTTCAATGATCTTGGGGCGACTTCGGAAAGAGCTCTGAGGCTCATCGTGCTGCTGGCCATGGTGCAGCGGCGGCAGGCCCCCTCCCCCCCCCAAACCCTAGCCGTAACCCAAGCAGCAAGACTCCGAAAGGCTCTTATAGTCTTATACCCTCCAACCCAGTCCAACCCAGTCCAAACCCAGTCCGAACCAGTCCACACCCAGTCATACCCAGTCCAAACCCTCGTAGCTTCAAGTCGATTGGGGATTGGGAAAACGCCAGGTCCTGATCCGGCGATGGACGGAAGAGGCCAAAGAGGGGCAGCTCAGGAGAACCGGAAGAAAGCCCCCGAGTCCTCAATGGAATAGACCATATGAGAGCATTCAGGGATTTAGGTGTGCGCAATTTGGGGCTTGAGGCCCAAAACGAACCAGTATCGTGGGTTGCTTTGTGGAGGCCTCAGGCCCCCCCCCCGAGCCGGGCCTGTTGGCCGGTCGCTCGAAATCAGGTTCTCCAATTCTGCGTTTTTTGGCGACCTAAACCCTTGAAGCCGCGAGAGGAGAGAGTCGAAACAGCACAGAAACGAATAGCCGTGCGAGGAGCTGGGATAGGGATCAAAAAAAATAGAAAAGGATCAAAAAGAACATGAAAAAGGATCAAAAAGAAATAAAAGGATCAAAAAAAAACAAGGCCGCGATCGACGACCCTCTCACACGAAACGCGTCTCGAGGCGCAAAAACTCGAGTTTTGGTACGTTCTCAGAGCACGATGGACGACCCTCTCACACGACACGCATCTCGAGGCACTAAAGCCCTGAGTTTTGGCACGTTTTCCGAGTGGAACTCTTGGCTTCCCGGCTTCTTGGCTTGTTGCCTTCTTGGCTTCTTGGCTTCCTGGCTCTCCTCGGCTTTTAGCTTTTTGGCTTCTTGGCTTCTTGGCTTCTTTTTTAAGTCGCAACCGCTTGCTTCAACGCATACGCGTGTGTCGAAAGCCAATGATGCGAGGATTGTGTTTGCAAATGGGGGGGCTGCGCCCCCCCTCCAACCCCCCCGCTTTTTAAGTCGCGCAAGCTTGCTTCGAAAAACAAGCGTTTTTTTTTCGAAATTAATGACGCGAGCATTGTGTTTGCGTGTTGGGGGGGGTGGGGGGCTGCACCCCCCCCAGACCCCGCTTTTTCAAATCGTGCAAGCTTGCTTCAAAGCATACGTCTTTTCGAGACCCATGATGCGAGCATTGTGTTTGCAACTCGGGGTCTTCTACTACTACTACTACTACTACAACTACTACTACTACTACTACTACTACTACTACTACTACTACTACTACTACTACTACTACTACTACTACTACTACTACTACTACTACTACTACTACTACTACTACTACTACTACTACTACTACTACTACTACTACTACTACTACTACTACTACTACTACTACTACTACTACTACTACTACTACTACTCCTGCTGCTGCTGCTGCTGCTGCTGCTGCTGCTGCTGCTGCTGCTGCTGCTGCTGCTAAGCACTACCAGCTCAAGCCGCCCGCGCATGGTAGCTGTCGAACCGGCCAAGGCCCCGAACTTCATCTCTTTAACAGCTTTCGGGGCCCTCTTAACATCTCAAGGCTTTCTAGCTTTTGCCAGCTGATGGCCACTTGGAGGCTTTAGCCTCAAGCATTCTGAGATTCTGCCGCAGACAGCATATCCACGAGCTGGCCCGGTCCCAATTCCGGGGGGAGAACTTAGATCGTCTTAGACTGCATCTTTCACTCCTAAGTGTGAGGGTTCTCGTCTTTCCGCAGGACGAGGGGAGTCTGATCGTGCTTCGGCACTTCAGTCGAAACAAGCGGATGGCAGAGGGTTTAATTCGGAAACACTCCTATCGTCGGGCCTGTCACCGAGCCTTAAGGGACGGTTGCGCAGTACCATATCGAAGGACAAATTTGCCTCTAAGCCAGGCACAGGCAAGCGCAGGCACGGCTGCACCTAGTGCAAGCCAAGAGACTAAGGAAAACATGCATGCTCAATTTGCACCGCAGCTTCCTCTTAGGCAACCGCGTAGGCGTCACCCTAGAGGCGGTCGCGAAGCCAAACCACTGCGGGTTTTCTCGTGGAATGCAGGTGGATTAAGCCAGCAATTGTGGGCAGAGTTCAAGGAGTGGCTGCAATATCAGCAGGACCTCGATGTTATCTTTATCCAGGAAACCCACTGGACTACATCCTCCCAGTTTAAAGTGCACGGCTGGACAGCTGTCTCAGGCGGGCTGCCGGATGAAGAGCTCGTGAGGTCTCCTCCCGCTCAAACATCCCAGCTACCCGAACAGCCAAAGCACAGGCGCTCTGCAGGTGTTCTCACTCTACTATCGCCTAGCATAGACTCAGCAACACTGCGCTGGCAGGATCTACACCCAGGCCGTGCTCACGAGGTTTACTGCGAAATCCGAGGCCATCCAGTGCTCCTGCTCAACTGCTACCAGTACACCAAGCAACGAGGCATGACGGAGCAGGACCACTATGCCACCCAAAGCAAAGTTCTCTCCTCCCTAAGCAAGTCCCTTACCAACTTGTCACAGCGCACTGTTCCGGTACTGGCGGGCGACTTCAACTCTTCCCTAAAACCAAATCCCCCCTTTGTAGGGGGAGTGGTGCCAGCAGGATCTTCTAAGCACAAGCCGGTTCAAAAGCAGTTCCAGAAGTTTCTTCAGCGAAACTCCCTAGTTGCGCTTAACACATGGCAGGGGCGCAAGGCAAACACTTTCATCTCGCCACAGGGCAGCTCTCAGATAGATTTCATCTTGACCTCCAAATTCTACGCTGCTCAGCTGGCCCGCAAAGTGTGTGTCCTCAAAGACTTCAAGCTGGGAGCATGGCGTAAAGGTGGCAAACACATGCCACTCAGGACGGCAGTACCCCTCAAGAAGGTCTGGAGACACCCGTTCTCGACCAAAACTCAACCGGCAGTCCCTTCCAAACAAAAGTCCCTACTGGCTCACCATGTAAGACAAAACACTCCTCTGGCCCAAACCCTGCGGGAGCAAGTAGCAAAGGATGTCGACAAACTCCGAGCGCAGAAGAAAGGCGAGCCTCTTCACCCTGATGAGGTCAACGAGCTTCTTCTCGAACATGCCAAGACTTTCCAGCCGAGGGACCCAGAAGCAGGCAGCTCGGACGCAGCTCCGACAGCACAACCTCTGTGGCGGCTTCATAACCATCGGCAGACCGCACTGCGAAACCTAAAACGTGAGGACGACGTCATAAATAAGATGGCTCGCACCGAGCACCTCAAACAGGCTCAGCGCTCGCTGGACGAGGCAGCCAAGGCACATGCCATCCAGATAAAGAATCAGGCCCGAGAAAGAACTCATCGAACTTTGAAAGAGATTTCTGAGAAGGTCAAACGAGATCCACATGCGGCATATCGCTCCTTAAAGCATGTAGCTCCTTGGTCTCCTGCACCAAGAGTCTGCCTCAGATCGCCATGCGGCCGCATCCTAACTGAGCCTGAGGGACTGGCAGAGTTAAAGAGACATAGTCTTTCCATCTTCTCCTCGCATCCCCCCCTAGCTAGTGGCGTAGGCCAAGCCTTGCCCAAGCTGGACAAAAGTAGTCTGTCCAAAGGCATAGCCTCTATAAAGCCGGAAAAGGCAGTACCGCAAGGATCTGCCCCCGCATCCATGTACCGCCTTTGTGCTTCCACTGTGGCCAATAACTACTGCGACTATCTCGAAGCGGTGCCTCCGCCTCCCGCTCCGACCCATCAGGCGTGCGAGGTCACCTCCTGCCAAGGGAAGCGCGAGCCTCAGCATAACACAGCACCAATGAATCCAGCCGAGCCACCCTCGCTGCCCATAACAGCCAAGTCAGCAGACCTTAGCTTCATACCCAAGCCCTCTAAACCAGCCTCTAAGCCGGAGAACTTGCGACCGCTGGGCATCATTAGGCCAGATGGCAAAGGAATAGCCTCTGAGGCTAGGAGAAGACTTGACCCTCTCTTCAAGAAGGCCCACTTTGCTTCCCCTCAATTTGCCTACATTCCAGGACGCGGTATCGCCGATGCCCAACTCCGGGTAATTGGCCACGCAAGGCGCGTCCGTGCCATGCTTCGATCCCGAGCACCAGACAGATTCTGCACTCCCAAGCGCACGAAGGGCAAGCCGGACCTAATCGGAGGCTTCACCTTCTCACTAGATCTCTCTCAAGCTTTTGACAAAACAAGCAGAGAAGCTCTTTTGCGCTCACTAATTACTTATGGAGCCTCACCTGAAGACGTCGAGCTGGTTGCATCCCTCCATAGGGAGGCCCAGTATAATCTGCGCTATGGACGAAGCCAGGAAACAGTAACCTCCACAAGAGGTATAAAGCAAGGATGCAAACTGGCCCCCTCCCTCTTCTCCCTGGTCATCACGGAGGCGTTCCGGCTTATGGCCACCCACATAGGGTTCTCTCCAATACAGCAGTTCCTCACAGGCTTCGCAGATGACCTCGTAATTCACCGAGACATCCACAACTGGTCTGATCTCTATGCGGCTCATGACATGGTTAGACTGTTACTGCACTACCTGCAAGAAGCCGGACTAGAAGTGAATTACGCCAAGTGCAACATCATGGTTAAACTGGCAGGTCGCCACGCGCAGCAGGCCAAGAAGCTCTTCAAGTCACAGGAGCTTCGCTCAGGCCGGAAGGTCACGGTCTGGAATATAGACGCACCAGAGCAGCCAAGACGGCCAATTCTGCTTTCGCATTCCTCAGTTCTTCCCCCTCTCCCCTCTCTTCCTTCCTTCGAGCTGGTAGACTCCTTCAAGTATCTAGGAGTCATGATCAGCTACTCAAACCCGGAAGATCTTACCTATTCTTTAAGACAAGAGAGAGCGGCGAAGAAAAAGCAGACAGTGCGCAAATTCATTCACAATAAGCGCAGGACAAAAACCGCATCTAGGCTGCTTGTCTGGAGAGCCACCGTCTGGTCCACGGCCACTTTTGGCCTGGAATCCGTTGGTCTCTCAGGTAGGCGGGCAAGGGCTCTCCGCTCATGGCATGCCAGACAGGTGCGAGCGGTAACGCACAACCCTGTGCATAAGACTCGTGAAACTACAGCAGCGCTTTTTGCACGTCTGAAACTTGTCTCTCCCATTCAGCAGCTTCATGATCGCTCCGCCCAGCGCCTAGACTCTCTCCGCAAGCGCCGGAATGCAGCCCCAGCGAGTGAGGTCACCTCCTGCTCAACATCCACGCCGGCCAACGCGAGCTCTTCGCTCCTCACTCAGTCCGGCGCCTGGCCACGTGAAGATATCTTAACTATTCCCTCCACCCTGCAAACGGCGGAGGAAATTGTAGCCTCTTACAGCAAGCTGCTCAGGGAGGCCGACA